TAGTAAGTGCTTCTGGAACATTCATGAAGATAAACCCTATTCTATGAAAAACCTTAGTAGATTCCAAAGATTTAAAAGAGTTGAAATAATAGAAATGATCTTTTCTGATCCTAAAGATTTAAGCTAAAAATCAATAAAAGAAGGGTCTCAGGAAAATCTTGGAAACTAAGCACATATTGCTAAATAACCTTGGGGCGAAAAAGAAGACAAAAAGGAAGTTAGAAAATATTTCAAACTGAGTAAAACTAAGAATGCAACATATCAAAATTTGTGAATGCAGCTAGAGCAGAGCTTAGGGGGAAGTTTCAAGCATTAAAATTAATTAATTAAATACTAAAAATGATTCAATTGATTCAACATTTAGTTAATTATATCAGTTAAATGAAAGGCCTTAAATCAATCACCTAAGTTTTCACTCTAAGAAAATGGAAAAAAAAAAGAGCAAATTAAATGGAAAATTATAGGTGGAGGAAAACAATAAAGAGAATAAAACAATGAAACAGAAAATAGAAAGATTAATAGAAAAAAGCAATGAAACCAAATTGTTTTTTATTTAAAAGATCAGCAAAATCGGTAAAATTCAAGTGAGACTAAAGAAGGATGACAGAAAAGAGACACCAGTGGCCAGCGTCATGAATGTAAGAGTAGAGCCGCTGAAGACACTACATCACTGAAAGATGATAGGGGAATATTATAAACAATTTTATGCCCATACATTTGACAATTTGGGGAAAAAAATGTATCAATTGCCCGAAGGACACAAACTACCTAAGTTCACTCAGGAAGAAGTAACCTGAATAGTCATATGTCTATTAAAGAAATTGAACCTGTAGTTAAAAATCTTGCTATAAAACTCCAGGCTTGGTCAGCATGATAGGCGGATTCCACAATATATTTAAACAAAAATTAATACTAACTCTGTACAAACTTGTTCAGAAAACAGAAGAGGAGGGAACCCTTCTGAACTTAGATTCATACCACTTGATTTCAAGACTTGTTACAAAGCTAAAATCATTAATACATCACCATGCTGATGAAAAAAATAGTGCAGAGTGCCCAGAAGGAGATCCACACGAATATGGGCTGATTGATTTTGACAAAGGCGCAAAGACAAGTCAAAGGAGAAAGGAGAATCTTTTCAATTAATGATGCTGGAACCACTGGACATCCATGTGCAAGATGCCTCCCCCCAAAACCCCAAACCTGAACCCATCCTTTTCTCCTTATAATCCCTAAATGTAAAACCTAAAACCTTACAATTTATAGAGCAATGCTGTTCCATATCCGTGTTTTCCAGTATGGGAGCCACCAGACACTTGTGGCTCTTGAGTAATTGAAATGTGGCTAGTGAGACCTAAGAACTAAATTTTAAATTTTACTTAATTTAAATTATACAACCCCATGTAGTGGCTACCGTATTAGACAATGGAGGTTCAGAAGAAAACGCTGGAGAAAATTTTGTGTCACTGGACTAAGCAAAAGTTCCTCAAAGATGACACTAAAAATATGATCCAAACAAGAAAAAATGGATACTTCCTGTTTTATCAAAATTAGAAATTTCTCTAAGAAAGACTTTTAAGAGAATGGAAAGACAAGTGATGGACTGGGAGGAGGTATTTGCAAGTCACATACATGACAAATGGCTTGTATTCAGAATATGTAGAGAATTCTCAAACTCAATCAAAAGAAAACATCTCATTAAAAAATGGGCAAAAGATTTGAATGGATACCTCATCACAGAATATATGTAAAAAGCAAACAAGTACACGGAAAAGCCTCAATGTCACTAGTTATGATCAGAAATGCAATTTAAAACCATCACAAGATGCCGCTACATGCCTTTTAGAATGGTTAAAAGTAAACAAAGAAACAAAGAAACAAACAACAAGCTGACCATACCAAGTGTTGACGGGGATACGAAGCAACCGCAATTGTCACATGTGACTGGTTGCAGGAACGCATGATGGTACTGATGCTTTGGGAAACATTTTGGCACTTTATCATGAAGTTAAATACAAATTCATTGTATGACCCAGCAGTCCCACTCTTGGTATTTACCCAAGAGGAATGAAACCATATGTTCACAAAACATGCATCCAAGAATGTTGACATCAATTTTGTTGGTACTGTCCCCAAATTGGAAACAGTTTAAGTATCCATCAATAGGTGATTGGGAAAAGTGTGGTATATCCATACGTTGGGATACTTCTCAGCAAACAAAACAAATCAAAACAAAGCACCCCCCAAAATCAAAACCCCCCAAAAAACTACTGATACATGCAACAACATATTTGAAACTCAAAAATGTCATGGTGACCAAGAGTCCATGCTAATCCTATTTTATATGAAATTTGAAAACTGGCAAAAATAATCTGTGGTAATAGAAAACATACCTGTGGTTGCCTGTTGGAGTGGGATACCTGTGGATGGGGAATGATTGAAGGGGGCATAAGAGAACTTTCTAAGATGATCTATCTAAACATTCATCTTGATTGATAAATTGTATGAAATGTATATCTTGACTGAGGTGTTCATAACATTGGCATATATACTTGTCAAATTCAAAGTTATTGAATTTTAGACTTAAGATCTAGGCAAAATACTAAATTTAAATTTTTCATTGATTAAAATAAATGAGAGGAATATCTATTCACAGATTTGAAATGATCTCCAGAATAAATTATCAAATGGAAAAACTCAAGGTGGGAACCTATGAACATTTTTGTTGTTTTTGAATAAAACTAATAAGATTACCTCTTTAAAAAAAGATCACCCCTGAAGGCACAGATGAAAAACAGAGGACATGGCAGGAAGAAAGTGATCCTTTTCTGAATTTATCTTGTTCTATAGTTTTTGCCTAGGTATCATGTATAAAATTAAATTCATAAATAAGTTTAAAAAATTCCAAAAGAAATGAAAATTGGAAATAGGGAAAGAGCTGCACAATATAGCGCTTATTAACATACATATCTAGGGGCGCCTGGTGGCGCAGTCGGTTGAGCGTCCGACTCCAGCCAGGTCGCGATCTCGCGGTCCGTGAGTTCGAGCCCCGCGTCGGGCTCTGGGCTGATGGCTCGGAGCCTGGAGCCTGTTTCCGATTCTGTGTCTCCCTCTCTCTCTGCCCCTCCCCTGTTCATGCTCTGTCTCTCTCTGTCCCAAAAATAAATAAATGTTGAAAAAAAAAATTAAAAAAAACAAAAACAAAAAACAAAAAACATACATATCTAATAATACTGTGTTATACACTTGGAAGTTGCTAAGACAGTAGATCCCCCACCAAAAAGAAATGGTAATTACAAGATGTGGTGTAGGTGCTAGCTAATGCTACGACAGCAATCATGTTGTAATACGGGAGTATCGAATCAACACATTGTACACCTTAAATGTGCACGGTGTCTGTGCCAACTGAATCTCAATAGAGCTGGGAAAAAACGAAATAGTGGAAAGAATTATTTCATGTCATTTCAGAATACTGTGATCATATATCCTTACTTGATACACTGATTCACGCAAAGGACAAGTAGTGTTGCCAAGAAATCTTAAATTTCATTTTGAAAGTCATATTATTTTTAGTAATATTGGTATTACTCTTTAAAATATTATATAAGAAAATAAAGCAAGTTCATAAATTACGTTCATATTTTTAAGGTCCAAGATTTCTAGTGGATAAAAGAGAGAGACATCATTATGAAATCAAAGAAATTAAATAAAACCCATCTACTGGGAAGTTTGCGTTGGAAATATCAGTATGCTCTTACACTATCTTTGGTCTTTATAAAATGTGAGAGTTGGTGCTACCCGCTAAGAATGCCCAGAAGCGAAAAACATCCTTAGCATCAGGACTGTGGTGTCTGTATCCCAATCCTTATGAACAGGAACTGTGGTCTGAGAAAAGAAGTCTGATTCCAGGGGCACCTGGGTGGCTCACTTGGTTAAGTGTCTGATGCTTGATTTCAGGTCAGCTCATGATCTCATGGTTCGTGGGTTCGAGCCCCCCACTGGACTCTGAGCTGACAGCACAGAGCCTGCTTGGGATTTTCTCTCTCTCTCTCTCTGCCTCTTTCTCTGCCCCTCTCCAGCTCATGCTCTATCTCCCTCTCAAAATAAGTAAACATTTAAAAAAGAGTCTGATTCGGGGCGCCTGGGTGGCTCAGTCCGTTAAGCATCCGACTTTGGCTCAGGTCATGATCTCACAGTTTGTGAGTTCAAGCCTCGCGACAGGCTCTGTGCTGACAGCTCAGAGCCTAGGGCCTGCTTCTGATTCTGTGTTTCTCTATCTCTCTGCTCCTCCCCTGTTCTCTTTCTCTCTCTCTCAAAAATAAACATTATAAAACATTTTTAAAGAGTCTGATTCCAGTTCTGGGGCAGGAAATATACAAGATGTGCCTGCCATAGAGCAACGGTGTACGCCCCAAACCGGGGAAGTTATTAAAGACTATTGGGGTTCTATCAAAGAATACAGGAGCCAATGACAGGACTTCCGTTGGTCAAAGATGGGAGTATCTGAGCCTGAAATATAATGATGGCAATGTGTGCAATACATAAAACCCCATAAGTTTATAATGATGTTCCCCAAAGAGGACGCAGAGTAGGGACAAAACAAGAGTGTTAGAGATGAGCGGGGAGGGCTGGGGGAGAAGGAAAGTTCATTGGCAGCATGAAGTTCTTTCTCTCCTCTAAGAATTGGATTGCTTTGGTTGATGAGAGAAAGTTAAGAGAAAAAAATCTTAGTTACTAAGGGGTGGAAGGCTCGTCAGGATCAGAAAATAACCATTTTTCATTCCCCAGTGGAATAATCGATTCAGGCAAAGATGGCCACCGGGTGGGTGGGGTGGGGGGCATTGCATGAAAGGCACAGAACGGTAGGGGACTTGCCCCAGGTCACACAGCTAATGTGTGGTAGATGTAAGATTGGAGCCCAGCCCGTCTGGCTGTAGTAGCCATGGTTGTAACTGTTGTACCATTTTCCCTCGTAAAATGGTGATAGTGGTTAAACTCACTGGTTCAACAGGTCCTGATGGGGTTCTACTACCTGTGAGCACAGCACACACAGTTCCTGCTCTCCTGAGGATCACACCCTTGGGGGCTGAAATCCAGGTGTGTGGGTGTGTGGGTGCTCGTTAGGGCTGCGATCTGCATTTTGCTGGAGGTTGGAAAGTTTTCATAATAAAAATAAAAAGCAAATAAGAGATTAAATTCGTATTTTGTTGGCTTAGTAGCTGAGATTCACAACGTTTACTTCTCATCAAGTCAGAATGGAGCGATGTTGATGCACGTGACATCTGAAGCCAGCGGGGGGGGGGGGGGTTTGGGAGCCCCTTCAGCATCCGACTTATTTCCGAAGCTTCCTGAGTTGGACCTTGGCAGGAAAGCCCCCCCGGCAATCTCAAGACTCTCCTTAAACTGTCGCTGAGGCTTGAAAGAGCGGTCTATGTTCCTTATTGTCAAGACCAAAGTTGGACAGGAAGCCATCAGATTTAAGGACCCATTTAAACCATCTCCGGCATGGCATCATCCCCAGCATCCATGCCGACCGGTTATTTGTAACGAGAGGGAGCCAGACTCTTGGCCAGCATGCAGGTGTGTCGAGGGCACTGGCTTTGCCACCCACTTGCAGCCCCTCCTGCAACGACGGGAGACTTTGTTCCAAGTCCGCCCCGGAGAGGAGCCAACCTGGCTGCTGGTCTCCGAGGTGTGAAACTTCCCATGCAACACCTTGGTGAATGTGTTGATTATTCACTATATCTCAGAATAGTTGAAATATAATTACAATGAAATTTTGTATAATCATTTCTGGAATCCTTGAATGAATTCTGAGGGGTCCCGGGCTGTGTGGTTTGGAAACTCATTTATACCCCTCCTGGGACGTCCTTCTCACTCCACCTTGGGTTGTGGTTATGAGTTCTGAGTTATCCCAGAGGTAGAGTCGCTTTCCTAAACTAGAGTTTAGCAAAGATCTAGGGCCATTGTTACAAGCCTAATAAATACCTGAGAAATGAATGAATGAATGAATGAATGAATGAATGTAGGACCCCTTCAAGGACAAGGAATAGTCATTCTTTTGGTATCCAGGGACTAAGCATAGGATCTGTCAAGTGGTAGTGAATCAGTGAATGAGTGAATGGAAAGGGTCCTTGCCTCCTGTGTCCTTGCAACATGCATCCCTGTTAGGGAAGGGAGCTGGTGCCATCATCATGTCGCCTGGTCCTTGGCTTTAGAAGACCGGCCCGAGGAATCTGCTGTCTCAGCTCAGACTGCATCATTGGCTGCCCAGCGCTTAAAGGAGTTAGTCCCACCAGAAACGTCCGTGCCCATTCCTCATGGTCGGGGCACCCACGTGCAGCCCCAGCCTTTGAGCTGAAGGTTGAATTTGGAAGAAGTGATTTTGGGGTTCTGTTGCTTTTCTGAGATAGGAGTCTCCCAGGCCAGAGGGCTGCCAGTTGGTGGGTCTGGGAAGACAGAGGGTGTGAGTAGGGGGCTCCCCTGTCTGCTCCCCCACGCACCTGGGCCCGAGTGGAATCCGCCAGCTCTGGGAGGCCTTTCCTTTGATGGACACCACTGACATGACTGGACTTGTCAGGACCCATCAGGGAAGGCAGGTTTCGGCAGTGAATTGAATTTGCAAGCAAGATAATCAGTTATTGATTGGAAGGGTGAGCCACTGCTCCTGTCTGCTTCTGAGGAAATGAACTTCTTCTCTTTCTGGAATATTTACTGGTGGGAGAGAAGCAGGGACAGCCCGAGTCAGCTTGGCTGAAGTGATGCTGAAGGGGCCACACCCACGATATTTACGTAGGTGAAATGGGGCTACGCATGCCCTTGGGGACAGGGCAGCTCTGTCCCACACCCGGTGGGAAGCCCTGATGCCCAGGTGTCTGATTCCCCACCTCTTGCTTCAGGTAAGAAGTCTTCAGGACCCAGGTGAGGAGGAGGGAGCCCCCCTGCCCCCCAGGCCACTCCCCTCACCCTCAGCTCCCAGGGCCCTTTAGAGACCCACAGCGCCCCTCACTTGATGCCTCTGGTCACCAGATTTCCATGGAGGGTCTCTGCCCCCGGGGCCTGGACCAGGGCTCCCCCACCATCCCTGAGAAACCCTGACTCTGGGATACCGTTGACTGTAGAGGGCACCATCGACCTAACAACAGCATGCTGGGAGAGACCGTGAAGCCCCATCGTATGTAGCATTCATCATAATTACAAATGTGTCCCGATTCCAGACAAGCTAAAAAGAGAGGAAAAAAAAGCGTGACTTGGAGTCAGGGAAATGTGGTGTTGTTATTTTCATTGTTCACATTATTAATTTGTTTACATCTCACTTTGTACCCAAAGGGTTTGCTGTGGGGAGTTGGGACGGCTGCTCCCACATCCCTCTGACACTTCTTGGCTGAGAGACGCTCAGTCGGGGAGGAGGAGGGGGAGGAGACTCAGGCGGCACGTGCATGCTTGCTTGGCCCCGGGACCGTGTGCAGCCACAGACCTGCGAGGACCTCCTCACCTCCTCCCAGCCCAGCGAGGTGCCTACCACCAGGGAGCACTCTCACCTCGAGCCCAGTGTGTGGTCCATACGACCAGGGAGCACTCTCACCTCCTCCAGCCCAGCGTGGTCCGTATGACCAGGGAGCACTCTCACCTCCAGCCCAGTGCGTGGTCCTTACGACCAGGGAGCACTCTCACTTGCCGCCTGTGCCCCCACAGCCCCAATGTACTCGTGCTCTGGGCCCTGGAAATTCAGGTCCTGAGGCCCCAAGCCTGTTTCCAAGGCGCATCTGAGTCCATCCTTCTGGGACAAGTGAGCGGGAGCAAGGGGCTGTTGAGTGCAGCCAGAGCCTGATGTGAGGTGCTCCCCTCAGGGGCAGGGCTGCCTCCCCACAGCACAGATGTAGGATGGTGGAGAAGGGGTTGGTCTGGGGGCCGGCAGGGGTCCAGACCATCTCTGCTGTGCTGCCTGCACAATTGACCCTTCGCTTCAAGGAGTGGAGAATTCTGAACTCGAGCCTGGCCTTCTGGGTCAAGGGTGAGCTTACCTGTCAAGGTAGGAGGCCAGAACATGTTCCATCGAAGCTTGCTGGCCTGATTCTGCATGGGCCTCTGTTTTACTCTTGCCCTCAGCCTCTGATTGTTTGGGGGCCTCACGGTGACCTGACCAGTGAAGGAACGACCTCATCTGCATATAGAACGTTCTCTGTTTTCCCCGGGCTGCATGGCCCACAGCTGGCAGCTCCAGCCCAGGACTTCTGTGCATCAGGGAGGTCGAAGTCCAGGATTAGGAGCTTCCTGACTCAAAGTCTGGGTCTCCCTTTCCTCTCTGGATGGCCCTCAGGGGCCCGGTCTTGGGAGGAATATGCACCCAGGTGACACTATCTGTGGTGGCTCCACCTTTGCCAGGTGGGACTTGGGAGAAGTTCGCTGGGCTTATATCCCCTGCATCCTTGGGGGGCTTTGTGCTCAGGACTGACTTCAGTCCAGATGCCCATTCTTCCTTCTGTGCAGAGAAGGCTCTGTGCCCCGGGGTGCTGAAGCGATGCTTCCTTCTCTCTATTCCTGGCCACGTCCCATGGAAAGGGTGAGGAAATTTTGCGATTGGATCCCGGGCTGGCTGGAGACCCGGGTGGAATGGTGTTCGTGTTTATTCTGGATGGAGCCCTTTCTACCTGCAAATCGTAGCTAATCCCTGGCTTCACCCGGAGGGAGACTCGGTGAGCTGGACAAAGGTGGGGGCCTGAGTCAGGAGCAGAATCCAAGAGCAGAATCAAGGTTTCTCCGGGGAGCCGGATCAATATAGACAGCTAATCCCCGGGCCTCTGATCATCCCTGGGCTCATCAGAGTGTGGCCTCTGGTCCCTGGAATACTCAGGACCTGGGTATTCTGCCTCATTAATTTTCTGGTCACCTTGGGGTGGGCTGGGGGAAAGGAATGCCTCCTGTTTGCAGATTTTGTGATGGAAAATCACGGAGTGTGGTTTGCTTCCCTGCCTTGGGCAACCGGCTGGGCTGCAGGGAGTCTCGGGCTGGTGGTGGTCGGGCCCTCGTTCCGAAAGCAGTTTCTTGAAGGATGCAGGTCGGAAGTGTAGGGGACTGGGCTGTTTCTCTTCTGGCCCTGGGACATACCCCATGGCTCTCTCATGTCTCAAGCAAGCCCTCCGGCAGGTGTTAGCTGTTCTTGTCAGCTGCCTCTCTCACCCCCGGAGCAGGATGGGGTAAACCACTCCCCGGCAATTCCAGAACGTTGCTGGCATCTCCTGCGATTGAAGTTTCATTGGATTTTCACGTCTGTTTTGTTTTCTTTCCCTTCCTTCTGAATGATGGAGACGGGGGGACACAATGGCAGTTGCTACGGATTGAGTGGGGGGGATGGGAAGCTGGAGGGTGGTCCCTAAGCCGGGTGCGTAGCTGGACCACTGCTCTGGGCGGAATTGAGTCCCCCAAACATTCGTATGGTGAAGTCCCAGCCCCCGCTGCCTCAGAATGAGCTATATTTGGTGACAGGGTCTCTAAAGAGGTGAATAAGTGAAAATGAGACCACTGGGCCCTAATCTAATCTGTGTCCTTATTATAAGAAGAGAAAAGGATGCTCTCCAACAGAGGGAAGGCCATACCAGTGAGAAGCTTGCCATCTGCACACCAAGGAGAGAGGCTTCCGAGGACGCTGCCCCTGCCCACACCTCGATCTTTGACTCCAGAACAGTGAGAAAATGCAAGCCTGCGGTGCTCAGTCTGTCAGCCCCAGCGCACTGACGCAGGTACACGGGGCTCGATGAGGGGCGGTGGGGTGTCCTCCAGCAGGGACATTCTGGGGTTGCAGCAGACTTTGCTCTGTCGGCACCCAGAGCCCTTCTTCCCACTGGCAGGCTGCCCCGCCTCCAACTCACCTGCTCCTGGGGGCTGTCACAAGCTAGCCCTGCCAGCTGGCCCGGCTAGAGCCCTGGGTTCAGGGTATGTGGGGCAACTGCTCCTTTTTCTCCACTAATAGAGCCCCGTTGGAGAGCCACGGGCTGGGATCGCTGCCTTAGACAATTTCCTGTTCTACGAATGCTAATATTCCAACCAACTGGCCTCAAGTGAGAGATCCGTAATTAACTGAAAGGAGATCACTTTTAAATCATCCCTGGGCACCAATTTGGGAGGCCAGCTCCGGGGCTGGATGGGCTGTGGGCTCAGCCCAGAGTGACTATTCTTATTTTCTTAACTAACAGGGAAGGACATGTGGCCAGGGAAAGGAAATGTGTCTCTGTGAGTTTTTAAGGGATAATAAATATGTTTCCAAAATTCTGCTGGTTAAATTCTCTGGAAAAAAAAAACACACACACAAGTAAATCGATGATACAACAGCGAGTGACTCGGACATCGGAGCCA